CATTTTGGTCTAACTGTACATCAGTGTTTCCTCTATCAAAGTAACAAATTCAGAATTGATGGTATGTATGGAAATATTGATGCCTGAAACTTCTACACTCAGGGAAGTGAGGGATAATTCACTGACATGGTGATGATATTTCAGATTAACCACTAACTCATTGACTTAAAAATGAGTGGAAACAAGAGTTTAATTAACAGAAAACCTCATGTAAGCATTAAGAACATGGAACAACTTCTAGTCTGTAATGGCTGCAGAAGATGAATAAGATCTGATATGATGTCTTTAACATGAAAACAAGCAGTCGTGACAGAGTTAGGAAAGATGACTAGATGCATGATCAAAAACTTGGGCTTTGAGGCAAATTTTTAAAAGGGAGAAACAATTGGAAGAGGAAGCGTTTACAAAAGAGTTTTTTAAAGAGCAAAGCTGACATGGCAGAAGTCCCTGCTATTGCTAGTGGCAGAATCAGAAGAATGAGAGGGGAGACCCTGGGCGAATGGTAAATGATGTTGTGCACTTCCAATTTATGAACTGGGGGGAAGGAAGACAATGGAAGTGAGCAAGTGATAGGCTGAATGGACCAGTAGGTCTTTTCCTGTCTGTTAACATTCAGAAGTGAATCTTAATCCATGACAAGAATCAAGTTATAGAGGTTTGAGCCAGGAATTTGTAAAAGATGGAGATCCAAGGATTTGAGAGAGGTGCATTGCAGATGTTCAGCCAAAATGTTTCAGCAGTGATAGAAGGAGACAACTCGCATTTGTATAACACCTATCATGATCTCAAACATTCCAAAACACTTAACAGTCAATAAAAATTGAAAGAACTGCGGATGCTGTAAATCAGGAACAAAAACAAAGTTGCCGGAAAAGCTCAGCAGGTCTTGCAGCGTCTGTGAAGAAAAAAATCAGAGTTAACGTTTTGGGTCCGGTGACTCTTCCTCAGAGCCAGTTCTGAGGAAAGGTCACTGGACCCGAAATGTTTACTCTGACTTAACAGTCAATGACGTACTCTTGAAGAGTAGTTATGTGTGACACAGTAATACAACAGTCAATTTGAGCATTTAAGTTCCTACAAACAACAACATGACAATGACCAGGTAACTATCTTTAAAGTAATGTTGAGTGAGGGATATACGTTGGCCAGGGCACTAGATATAACTCCTTCTCTTCTTATTTGATGCTTTCATACTTTGAGAAAGCAGATTACAATCTTGCTTAATAGCTCATCAAAAGGACTGTATCTTTTGACAACTGAGCCACAAATATAACTGAAATGGCTGCTTGGGAACATAGGTACAGGACTAGGCCATGCAGACCCTTGAGTCTGTTCTGCCATTCAAAGAGATCATGGCTGATTTGTGACCTACCTCCATTGAACTTTGGTCTATATCCTTAGTGCCTTTGCTTAACAAAAAATGTATCTATCTCAGATTTAAAGTTCACAACAAATCCGGCATCAACTGCCATTTGTGGAAAAGAGTTCCAAACATCTACCACCCTTTGTGTGTCGAAGTGCTTCCCAACATCTCTCCTAAACAGTCTCCCCTAATTCTCAGTCTATGCCCCATTAGTTCTAGAATTCCTAACCAGTCGAAATGATTTATCTTTTCCTGTCAATATCGTGAATGCTTTGATCAGATAACCACCCCTTCACCTTTTAAATTCTAGAAAAAAAACAGCCTAATTTGCATAATTTCTTCTCATAACTTAACCCCTGATGTCCAGGTATCATTCTTGAAAACTTACATTGTGCTCCTTCCAAGGCCAATCTATCCTTCCTAAGGTGTGGTGCCCTGATCTGCTCACAGTGCTCCATGTGGAGTTTAACCAGGATTTTGTATGAATCCAGCATAACATCTACATCTTTGTACTCCAGTCCTAGATCTAAAGGCCAGCATTTCAATAGCTTTTTTGGTCACTTTCTGCACCTGTTCATGACATTTTAAAGATCTATGCACCCCAAGCCTCTTTGGACATCTACTGTATTTAACTTCATACCATTTAGGTAGTACCTAGATCTATTCTTTATCAGTCCAAAATGGATAACATCACATGAACACTATCTGCCACCGCTTTGCCCAATCACTTAATCTATCAATATCCCTTTGTAATTTTATAGTATCTATGGTGTCTACATGGTTTACAATGCTACCTAATTTTGTGTCATCAGCAAATTCAGATTAGGCAAGGTACATAGGAGAAATTTTAATATTGGTGCAGCCTTGCCAATTATGAATCACTACCATTACCAGATGAAGGGAGAAAACTTGGCACTGAAGAGATTGTTGACCTCACTGCTATTGCACACACAAAGTTGATCAAAAGTCACATAATTGACTGAGTCCATTTACAAAACCAGCTGTACTGAAATAAATTTACAGTCAACAAATACAAAAGGAACAAAAACAGAACAATAGGATTTTTTTTCAGATTTTCAATACAGGAAGCAGTTATATAAATAACTACAGTAGAAAATAAACAAAACTGTGGGACTAATTGCAGAATGTAAACATTGAAACAACAAAGAAGACATTAATTTGTTTTTTTAACCGGTGATACATAATTCTCATCAAAACCTAATTAATTGAAAGCATCTCACTACTGTTGGGACTAATACTATTGATCTGTAATGCAAAGGTGAGTCAACACATTTGTACCACATTGCTAAGGGAGCACTGACATCATTTGATGGCCATGATTCTGTGAACGTAATGCCTCTGCTGTGCAGAGAGGGAGGCAATAGATAGTGTCATTACCAGTGGTCTGAACCCTGAGGCAGTGTGGACATTTCTAAGTTGGAATTGCAAAATGTACTTCTTTAAAAAAAAAGGGCTGGCAAAGCCAAATTTTGGAGGTGGGGGGTGGGGTGAGGGGTTGGAGACAGAAACAGAGAATGAGAGACAGAGACAGAGACCATTGGAATGTGACTCCATTGGACGCAAATGGCACTTTCAAACAACAACCCCTCCAAAGGGGGAGTTCAAAACAGTCCGACTGTGATCTTGTGAATACAATGATAATGAGGTACAGATGACTCCTACTCAACTGCAAGCCAATAATGTACCAAGCTGCAGACATGTTGGTGTATTTACCTTTGAATATGACGCAAGAACAGGGTTTAAAAAGCCATTTCTTCAACATTCTTGTGTGTACCAGTCCATTTTTAAGTGTTAGTATGCAGTGAAGTTCACTGTTGTTGAAGAACTATCCCCATAGAGATCTCTGCATTGCAGGTAAATATCTTCTCCTAAGCTGAACACTAGCATCCAGATAAGAGGAAAACCAGACATCGAAAGGACCCTGTAAAAATCCTGGAAACCAATCATGGTCAAAAGGAATCAAAACTACAGCCTCTCAACCAATCTGCAAAACTAAGGATTGTGAAACCGACTATTCAATTGTCAGCATCAATTATAGCCAGTGACACTTCATCAGAACAGGGGGATTGAGATGAGATTTCTTTTTTCTCAGAGGGTTGTTTATCTGGAATTCTCTCCCCCAGAGAGCTGCTGGGCCATTTCAAGAAAGATGTAGCTATAACTCTTAGGACTAAAGGGATCTAATGATATGGGGGGAAAGTAGGAACATGGGACTGAGTAGGATAATTATATGAATGATGGAGCAGGCTTGAAGGGCCTATTCCTGCACTTCCATTGTGTGCTCTTATGTTTCAATAACTATATTCAAGACAGTATTAGTCAGAGTTTTGATGGAGGCACATAGGGAAGTTCACTTGAGGCCACAAACAGATCAGCCATGATCTTATTGAATAGCAGAGCAGACTTGAGGGGCCAAAATGGCCTACACGTGTTTGCGATTCCAATTCTCTTCTGCAGTACTCCCTCAGTATCACACTGGAACATCAGCCTAAGATCACAAGGTGTAGAGCTGGATGAACACAGCAGGCCAAGCAGCATCAGAGGAGCAGGAAAGCTGACGTTTCGGGTCTAGACCCTTTTTCAGAAATTTCTGAAGAAGGGTCTAGATCTGCAACGTCAGCCTTCCTGCTCCTCTGATGCTGCTTGGCTTGCTGTGCTCATCCAGCTCTACACCTTGTTATCTCAGATTCTCCAGCACTGGCAGTTCCTACTATCTCTGGACCATCAGCCTAGATTGTTTGAACTCCAGTCTCTGGTGTAAAATTTTAACCCTAACCTTCTGACTCAGAGTGGGCTCTGTATGTGGAGTGTCTCAAAAAGTCTAAAAGTCAAGCCAAGGCTGCTGTCTTGTGAGATCAGCTTCCATCCACTCAATTCTATGGAATAAGTCATTTAGTTTCTCAGCAAAGTGAAGGGGAGGCATAGCCCTTGCCCCAAAATCTATCACAATTCACCTCCTTGCTTTGGGTGAGATAGCGGCTCAGTGGTTAGCACTGCTGCCTCACAGCACCAAGGGCCTGGATTTGATTCTAACCTCGGGTGACTGTCTGTGTAGAGTTTGCACATTCTCCCTGTGGCTGCGTAGGTTTGCTTCAGTTTCCTCCCACAAAAACGGTGCATTGGCCATGTTAAATTGCTCATAGTGTCCAAGGATTGTCAGGTTAGGGTGGATTGGCCATGTTAAATTGCACATAGTGCCCAAGGATGCGCAGGTTAGGGTGGATTGGCCGTGCTAGATTGTCCATGGCGTCCAAG